TTATATTCATGTTGACGCAGTCTACGAGTATTCCTCCCTCGTTTCGCGTGAAAACGTGCTGAGCTTTCGTCCATCATATGATGGACATCCTCAGAGCTGGGTTCCATTCTTGTAAGAGAGTCTCACGTTAATACTAAACCAAGAACACTATCCGGCTTCATCTTACTACTTAAATAGACTCAGTCGAGTCAATAGATTACAAATTACAAATCTAGACTAATCAAGAAAACTTGCCGGCTAATCCATGAATTCTGTATATATATCCATATTTAGCCAAAATATACAAATTTTAAAGAGAAATAAGGAGAGGGTGTGACATTTTGTATATAAGTTGTTTGAACTTGTTTTCGCAACTTGGCCATATTGACAGGAATACTTAGCGGAACCTACCAAGTCCGGAGTCCATTGTATGCATGATCATTTCCAGAGTAGGACCGTGGAGGTGGTACATTCCTGAACGCTTTGCCGGCAACTACACTACAACTCGTCAAAGAGAAAGGTGAAGCAGATCCTTTGATAAATTGTCTGCTAAACAATCGTGGTATCTCCCCTTCACCCCTGGGCTAATCACCAATCCTATATCCTCGTATCCCATTTTTTTACTTGCCTACTTAAATGTGGTGTAGTATGACTTTTTGAGTGGTTATCATGAGAAACTCCCACACTACACGCTGGTGTTCTCACGTCCCTTCACACTTGTGCTGGGAATGTCGATCAGAGTCTGCCATGTTGTTGCGCAGTCCTACTTCCCTGGTCTTAGCAGAGACCCCCTCTTGCGCCGTAGGATCAATCTGCTCCCTACCTGGTTCAAGTATTTCACTCGACCCCTGCCACCCCATCTGTGCTCCACGAGGCGCTATTTCCCACACTCTGAGTCTGGGAGACTAACTCGAGGCTAAGCACCCCGAATAACTCTTACGGATCACGTCTATCGTAAAACAGACATGCTGCCAGCCAACTGGTTCCAGTCTCCGCCGCGTCTATTCTGTTTCTATACCTAATACCAAGTCTATGACTTCTTGTGCCATAGTCTCTTGTGTGCCAACCCACAAATGTTGTGGTTCAACATTGAGCCCAATCAAAGCAAGCGATTGTTTAGCAGACATTTGGTCAAAGGATCGGCTTTACTTGTCTCTTTGACGAGTTGTCTTGTGGTGCTAAGAATGGCTAGACTCACTGACGATGCCGACGAAACGTTTGAGAATGCTTCATGTTCACGGTCCGATTCTGGAAATTATCATACAAACAATGAATTCCGGACTATGTGCGTTCCTATAGTTCTACTTGTCAATATGACCAAGTAGCGAAAACAAGGTCAAACAACTTCTAGAAATAAGGAGAGTTGGTTGGATCAAATAATATGTCCATTTAGAAGAATATGTTTGTCTGCTTGCGTGTGTACTTATCTGCCTTCATTTGTACGTATGCTTACGAAACCAGCATAATAACGGAACGTCGAATCTGTCCTTAGTCACCAAAGCCTAATAACCAACGTTATCTCTTTTTTATTATCGTTTCTCTGATTGCGTAATGCATCACACTTGTCTGGTTAATATGAGATGTATTCAATCTATTATGCTTAGGTTGATAAGGGAATGAAAGTGAGATATTTCCACAATGAGTAGGCTTTATGTTTTCATTAAATGTCGAATAACCTTGCTCTCAAAAGGTATTTTCATCCAAGTTGGATTC